TTTAGATTTTTTACAGTTTTACTTATCGAATACAGTAAAAAATTGCATATTTTGCTTGTGGTGATTCATTATTAGAATTCTGGTTTCGATATATTTTCCATTTATTATATGTAATAAAAAGATATTAACTTTATTTGGATTTATTCTTGAAATAGTAAAATTTTCAAGTCAGTTTGTAAGCAAAAACCTGCAGAAATTAGATATTTCTGTACATTTTTTCAGGTGATCTTTAAAACTAAATTCTCAAAAATTGGTAAAAGCTATGAATCTAATTTTTGATTTTCTAAAAGAAAAGTGAAAAATCAAGCTGCCCTATGATGGCCAGGTACAAAGATCTTTTAACCATTACCTCTTTCCTCCCTCAACTTAGCTAAACTATTTTGTACCAAATAAAAGTACTGTCTGGAAGTGGAATAATCATCCTGGTAGAAATTTTTCAGAAAAGGAGTTTCACAATAAGTACCATGACCAAAAATAATCAGTTCCACTATTTCTGGATTATAAAAAATTTAAATTTACAAATGAAGATCAAAACACAAAATGCAGTTATTTGACCAGTTGGTGATGGTCTGAGAGAGGCCCCTGCTGTGTGCGTTTATATCACAAGTGTTAATTGTATAGAAAAAAAAAAGTCTAGATTACAGTGGTATGGATTTTCTCTCTTTATATGTATTCTGCCTTTAAGTAAGTCTAATAGGACACGCTTCATTCTAAGTTGAATGAAGCTTTAGTTAATTTACACCTGTGTTCATTTTCTGTTATGATGTTGATTTGGGGTTAATAAAGACAAACGCCAAATAACACGTAACAATAAAAAGGGGTTTATTCGGTTGGTAAGTAGGTACAGAGATCGCCTGAGTAGTCTATAACTAACTCAGCCAAGAACTTCTTCGACTCTGTCTGTCTTTTTACATGCCACTATTTAACGTCTTTGTTTGTAGACAAGTTCATCTTCAAGAGGGGTGGTAGGTTTCCTACACAACATTTTCTCACTACAATTTATTCAAATTAGAATCTTCAGCATAGAATATTGTATGACACCATAAAGGTTCAACATCAATCCTCACCATACAGCTGCTGAGCAATGGACTCACTGGATTTTAACATTTGAAAACTTTGTAGAAAACCTGTTGTGCACTGCAACAAATGCAACACCACACAAAAGGTTTCTACCATTCCAATGTAGAACTTCATGAGGAAAATCACTCCCATTATGAATGTTACAACTTGGCATAGTTCTTCTGAGACACCATGTTTGACACAGTAAAAATGACCTACTAGTTAATGAAGTCAAATTAATACAGGCAACCCTGAATTACACATTCATCTAGCACTTGGACAGGAGTCAAGATACTGTGTTGTTAAAAAATTTGACCCCTGTGGGAGCAAACCCCCCAGAGAAATCAGAAATGGAACTGCTACCAGAACAAATGGACCAACATAATTTTAGTTCTGACAAGGAGTTGGCACCTAAAATATGAGTGCACTCTGCACAGACGCAGAGGAGCTTTGCCCAGTAAACAAGACAAACCTGAGACAGTAAGCTCAGACAAGTCAATGTCAGAGGTGGCTGTTGACTGTGAACTACTATGATATTCTCAAAGGACCCACAGGAACCAGGTTGGTGGAATGACTTTGTCTCCTGTAATTAACCAGCAGTTGGAAATTTGGCATGGATTATCTCCCTTATACATATTCTGTATTTAAATAAGTCCAATAGGACATGATTCATTCTAAGTTGAATAAAGTTTCAGTTAAGTTAAAACTGTATTCATTTTCTCACTACTATTACTCATGCAGAATATTTAAGCAATGCAATTACTTAAATATGTCTCATTTTTTTATGGTCTTGATCAACACAACCAAGATCATTTTTGAATGATTATCTTTCTTTCAATGCTGTTGCTTTTAATGATTTTAAAAAAAGCAAAATTCTTTCTGATAGTAGAATTGTACAGTGGGATGGTAAAAAGTTCTCACTGAAGTCAAATTCCAAAAACCTGACCAAACATCAGAATAATTCTTTTTTTATTCATTTTCTGGTTGGGCTGTGAACTTTTCTGCATGCCCTGACTAAATAATAATATTATTCTATTTATACTTGAAAATATATAGAGTGCAATTGCAAAACTACTTAAATATTGCCTGCCATTCTATGACACATGATCAGTTATGAACTTCCACCTGACTCTTATTTTACTATACACTTTATACCTCTTCTACTTAACAAATGCAAATAGGTACAATCCTATTTATGAATCCACTACACCTCCCTGAGCTAAGTGGTTTAATGCCTTTGGTTGTTCCTGAACTTCTATATCCTCTTTCCTCCTCTCCCCTTTGAACTTTATATTCTGTTCATTTTAATGGAGATCTTGGTCTCATTTCATCTTCTATGTCTGAGTCACTCCTGCTATCATCCATAGGCTCATCTTCTATTGCATTGTCCTGATCTGAAGAACTCATCCTTTCTTCTCTATCAAGGTCTTCTTCCACCATAACATCTTCCTCTTCAATTCAAGATCTTACCTGGTCTCATTGGGCCATTGGGCTTTTTCCTTTCATTTTACTTTTTGTTGTATTGCATTTGTTGCAGTTTTTTGGGTTTGTAATCACTAGTGAGCTAGCCAAAATGAGCTGACTCATTTTATAGTTCACCAATAGAAGGGTTAACCAATCAGAAAGCTCAAAATATTCAATCCGACGTGTATAAAGGCAGCCATTTTTTTTTTTTACCAAGGTATCCTCACTGCCAACCTGATATCGAAGACTTAAAGAATTACTTAACAGCCGCTACTTTCTCTGAATCTTCACTGCCAAACTCTGATATTAAACAGATTACAGACTTCACCGGATTCCATATTCAGAGACTACGGCAAACATGGTGTTGTTCTATGACATGTGATCAGTCAACTTCTTGGCTGTCTCTTAGTTTACTATGCACTTTATATCTCTCCAACTTTATATATGCAAATAGATACAATCCTATTGACCAATCCACTACAATTGCTATCATTATGATAGTTTTTTTGTACTAAATACAAGTGTTATTGGGAATAGTCCTGATCCATACTGGATTTACATATGGGTTAATATGTGCTGCAGCCCAGGGGCCTCAAGATTAGAAGGGCTCCCTCTAGTCTTGTGCCACTAATAAAACAAAAATATAAAGATATAAGAACAGAGGAGATTAGTTTATTTTTAGATCTAATGGGGCTCCTTTGAACTAATTTGAAACAATTTAAAGTATTTGGGGCCCTGAAGTTGTAGGGGGTATTTGGGGACCAAAGGTTGGAGGGGGTATTTGGGCCCCTGAAGTTAGAGGGGGTATTTGAGGCCATGAAGTTAGAGGGGGTATTTGGGCCCCTGAAGTTGGAGGGGGTATTTTAAGGATTGCAAGGCTTTACCAAGTCAGAATTTCCCTTCACCATCATCTTTATGATTTTTAGGATCCTTTGCTAGTGAATTTGAATGCTAGAATTTTGGTATAATACAGGCTTTTCATTCTAGATACATTTCTGTAGAATCAAAGTTTGGATAAAAAAATATAAAGTTGCTAATGAAATAAATTGGATGAGTTCCAAAAACCATTAAAAATTTACACAAAAAAGCATCATCTAAAAATATATCTTTTTTTTTATAGACACAGTGTGTGTGAGGGGGAGAGAGGCAACCATACTTCATGAAGGGGCTACAAACTCTATTAGCCCAGGGGCCTCTTATGACCTAAGTCTGGCCCTCATTCTGGTAGAATATTTTCTATAGGCACTGTTACCAGAAATAATCGCAACAGATTTTTCTGTAATATAAAAGGATTTGGGATTTTTCCCGCTTTACCTTTCATTGTGGATGAGTTGAATATTTTCACAAGGCCCAAATTTTCACCCCCTAGAACAGTGTTTCTCAATCTTTCTAAGCATTGGCACACTTAGGAGCTAATGAAAATATTATGGAACATGTAGCAAAATTTTTAATGGGTAAATATTTAAATGTTATGAAATAAAACTCTAAATTTTAGAAAAATACACTCACAAATATGAACTTTCTTAATTTCAATGTTTCTATTCAACTATTTGTGCAGTTTATTTAGTGTGAAAACTGGTGTTTTTTTCACAAGTTTTTCAATGTTTGGATGAATTAACAATAAGCAGACCCACATTTCTTCTCCAGATGAGCGTAATCTTTCTCACGTCTAATTTTGGATGTTATTTAGGGTTAAAAAATCTAATTCACATAAATATAAATAAGACGTAGAAAATTGCAATAAAACTGATAAAGACTTTTTAGTTAATGCAGAATATCTTTTTTGTATATTCAAATACTAGAACTGTACCATTGCTACTTTTGCACATACATATATATATATGTATGCCATGATACTAGTGTGCCATGGCATGGCAGTTGAAAATCACTGCCCAAGAACCTTTCTAAATTATCTTAACCTGAGCAGTTCTGGGTCTCCTTGCTGCTATAAGTATGGAAGCCAAACTCTTCAAAGGAAATAGAGAACAAAACAATTGATGACAGAGTTGAGACTTTTCTGGCATGGCTGATGATGCTTTTGATCACAGCATTATTAGCCAAGGCAAAAGTGAAGGGGAATCGAAAAAAAATCCAAAAAAGGACAACGTGAAATAAACAGTGATCGTAAACACATCTTTCAAGGTTTAATTCAATTTCCTTTCCTTAGAAATCTATATCATTTGTAATTGAAGAGAATATTCTGGAAATAGACCCAGAAAGGAAATGATGAAAACAGTAGCGATGGCACCAGCCAGTCTCCTTGCAGACACACCTCAGCTGACAAACAGCGGAACGGTTAAGCTCTCTCTCTCTCTCTCTCTCTCTCTCTTTCTCTCTCTCTCTTTCTCTCTCTCTCTTTCTCTCTCTCTCTCTCTCTCTCTCTCTCTCTCTCTTTCTCTCTCTCTCTCTCTCTCATGTGCACACACACATTCTTATCTTTTGCTTATTTCTTTTTATAGGAAACATATCTATCTAGTTTAAAGGGAATGAAATTCACAGACTTTGTAAGAAAGAAAGAAACAAACCAACAAACACACAAAGAAAGAAAGAAAGAAACAAACAAAAGGAGACTGAGAAAGAAAGAAAAGAGAAGAAAAAGATAGTAAAAATGAAAGGAGAGACTGGTGTATGAAAAAAGGTAATAAAATGAGTTGCCAAAATTGGCATAGAAAGAAAGAAAGAAAGAAAGAAAGAAAGAAAAGTGATGTATGAAGAAAAAGAAAGAAGTGGAATATGAAGAAAGGAAGAAAAAGGAAAGGAAAGAAAAAGAGACTGAAAATGAAAGAAAGAAAATGGAAGAAAAAGAGATTGAGAAAAATAGTAAGAAATGAGAGACTGGTGTATGAAAAGGTAATGAAAAGAGTTGCCAAAATTGGCACATGAAGAAAAAAAAAAAAGAAAGAAAAGTTATGTATGAAGAAAAAGAAAAGGTAAAGAGTAGAATATGAAGAAAGAAAAGAAAAGGAAAGGAAAAAAAAGAGACTGAAAAAGAAAGAAAGAAAATGGGGAAAAAAAGACTGAGAAAGAAAGACAGGTGAGAGTTGTGTGCGAAAAAGGTAATGGAAAATGTTACAAAAAGGGACACATGAAGAATAAAAGAAAGAAAAATGACACATGAAAAATAATACAAAGAAAGAAAGAAAGAAAGAAAGGTGGTATATGAAGGAAAAAGAAAAGTAAAAGAGTGGGATATGAAGAAAGAAAGAAAAAGGAAAGGAAAGAAAAAGAAATTGGCAAAGAAAGAAAAAGGGAGAAAAAGATACTAAGGAAGAAAGAAGGGAGTGTTCTATGAGAAAGGTGATGAAAAGAGTTGCCAAAAGTGGCATATGAAGAAAGAAAGAAAGAAAGGAACGAAGAATGAGGTATAAAAAAGAATACAAAGAAAGAAAGAAAGAAAGAAGAGTGGTGTATAAAAACAAAAAAAAATGAAGGAAAAGCATGGCATAAGAAGAAAGAAAAACAATGAATGTAGGAGGCACAGGATGAAAGAAAGAGTGAAAAAGAAATAAAAAGATAGTCTTTTTATGAAGAAAGAAAAGAAAAAGAGAGTGATATACAAAAAAAGAAAGAAACAAAGAGAGAAAGAAAGAAATGAAGAAGATAAATAGTGTGCATAATGGAAAAAAGAGAGCAAAAAAGAATGACTTGTACACTAATTGGCTGTTTCTAATTTATTTTTATTTTTTATCTGCTTTGCTATTTTTATTTTATCTTTTAGTGCATATGCGCCAAGTACACCAAATTCTTATTCAGTTTATAATTACTTATTTAACTGGCAACGAAAGAGCATGTACTCCAAGCAGTACATCAGGAAACCAACGAACCAATGAGAAATCAAGAAATGCATTTTAAAAACCATTACCCAATAAAACCTGTCTTAGATTATATATACAGCCATTTGAAATATCTTGAGAAATGGTTGCAGGACCTTTATGTAACTTATCAACCAAATAGAGAGTTTCTTACTGCTTATTCACACTCTCCTGTGATGTTACTCAGTCAGTTTCATTCTTGTGTAGAGTTTCTTAGCCAAACATCACATCAGTCTGACAACCTTCCTACAGTTCATATTTAAATCCCTGTATCTACAGACGTTTATCAACTATAAAAGGGAAATTTCGGCTCGTGGGTGAGATTAAAGGGAACATCGTGAAGCAGCTCAAAATACCCCCAAAATTGTAAACTCAAGAAGAACACTTTCAAAGTGGACTGAATCTACAGCCCCCCACCCCAACAGTTTCCATTTCACACCCTGTATCTCCTAAATTTTCTCCAACCTAAAATGAGATTTCAGCTCGTGGGTGAGATTAAAGAGAAGAGGCTGAAGCAGTTGTTTTTGATCCCTAAAGTGAAGCCTTAAGTGGAGTACTTTCTAAGGGGACTAAATTTGGCAGTCACCATGCAGTTCACATTTAAATCATTGTACAGGTTACAATGGATGAACTGTTGACGAAATGATGCAAAAAGGAAAATAACACTGACATCTCATTTTAACAGATACATTTACCCAAACGACACAAAAATATCTTGAAGTATCAAAGAGTAAATTTATTCAATAAAATCGCCATTGGCTTCAACCACAGTCTCCAAACCAACTTCAGAATCTCTTGCAGCTCTTCTGGACAGTCTCCTTGTTCAAGTTGGTGAATGCTGCCATAATCTTTGCCTTCGGTTCATCTTTAGTCTTACAAGGAGTTTTCTTGGTCTCTTGCTCAACTGCATCCCATATAATAATCAAGGGGTTTGCAGTCTAAGGAGTTAGATGGCCAGATGTAAGGGGTGATGTGAATTTCATCATGGTGCTCTTTTTCTCACAGATAGTGCCCAACTGACCCTACTATATTGTGCAGTTGACAAAATCAAGAACAAACAAGGCATATATAAAATATAAAATGGTGACAATTTACCCATCACACCCTCTATCTACTGGCTTTTCGCAAAGTTAAAGGGAGATTTCCCCCTGCGGGTAAGATTAAAGAAAACATGATGTGGCAGCTGATGGTGATCCTGAAATTGAAGTCCCAAATGGAACATTTTGAAGGGATGGCTAAGTTACGATTGCTTTAGGTAGATTAGTTTTTGGCTAATATTAACTATCTCTAACCATTCTGAATAGTTTGTATATGGATGGCTAGAAGCACTAAATTGGTCAAAAAACAGAAATAGAAAACTGAACAAATACAAAAAGAACTTGAAGAATATTTGAATGATTTTGTTCCTTTAATTAACTTTGGTGATCATAAAAGAGCAGTTGTTTTAATGTCCTTAAGCCATGCTTATTTGTAGAACTGACTCTTATGAGCAGGCATCTCTGATCACTAAAATCTTAACCTGTTCAAGTCTAGAGTTAACTGTTATCTTCCATACATAAGCCCACAAACTGTGCCTCTTACCTCTTACTCTGTAATAATCACCCTTGAATGGCTCTTGGAACTTGTAAAATATGAACATTATTGTAAAAAAGTGCAAAAAAAAAAAAAATTACCTTTTCCCTCGGCCCATCATGCCTTCAATATATCCTATAAGTGTCAAATTTTGCAAGTCATCTTTCCTTATAATGTGTCCCAGAAAATTCAGATGTCAGTTTCCGATTCTAAATTTAAGTATCATTTCTTTCCACCTTTCTAAAAACATTCTTGTCACTCACATGTTCAGTCTATGGTATTCTCAGCTTCCTTCTGTAGAATCACATGTGTTGCCTTGAGTCTCCTCTTCATCTCCAAAGAGACTGCCAAGCATTCACTGCCATATAGGAGAATGGATATTATATAGAAGTCCAGCACTCTTTGTTTCAAAGTAAATTTTCATGTTGTATACTTTTTAAAAATATTTTGCTGATAGAAAAAATATACTTATTTAATATCCGATATTTCTATTTTCATAAGCACAGTACTTGTTCTTTTCATTCATAAATAATTTCACAAATGTTTTTTTTTATTTTCTTATTCATGAGAGAACTCTGTCCAAACCACCTTCCCCACACACAGTCATAAAAATAGATTCTAGAATGCCAAATAGAAATCCTTTTATTGATCTGAGATGAATGCCTTTCTTGTCACTTCCAGCCACTGAATTTCTTATCTCATGTCAGGAGACAAGCCAGCTGTAAACCTTGTCATCCAGATGGATACCAAAATCCACTGCTGTTCCATCTCAGAGAAAAAGCAACAATTTTCTTTGTACTACCTATGTGCAGGCAAACAACTACATCGGAAAGCATGTCTGCACCTATTGCTCCAAGCCTTTGTTTATCATCCGAGAACTTTGGGTGGGGGAAATACAAGAATGGTTGGTTGACAAAAGTGGTTTGCTGTGTGGATTTGGATTAACGTGACAAAGAGATGGACAAATCAACAACCTCTCTCACTTGCTGATTACAGAGATTAGGAAATAGAATTTATTATGTGTTTTGGTTTGTTCTGAACTTTCTATAGGTTGCTGGCGATCAGTTTTGCACCCATTGAACCAGCTGTTAGTTTCCGTCGCACGGTCTGTCAAATTTTGTTTTTATGTATAAGTAAACGAGACTCTAGCTTGCTGAGAGCTTAAGATTGTTCAGCTTACCTAACTCAGTCTCGGAAGCATTTGTAAAATTATTTTTCTTTCTATCACTTGTTAAGATTGCTATCAAGGTCATTGGTCACATTTGTTATATTTGAATACTTGTTTACAAATAAAACCATTTCTTCAAATAAATTTCATCCAATACAATGCACTTGCACTTTGAGAGGTCTGAAAACAAAGATAGTAAAATGTTACTTTAGGAATTATTAGCAAAATATGCCTTCCAAAACCTAAACAAAATATTAACAAACAGATAAATTTCTTTACAAACAAAGAGAAGATTGTTAAACTGCTATATAGTATGAAACCTTTCATATGGCAGTGAATAGTGGAAAAGTTTCTCACAGATAAAGAGCACTTGGGGCAATAGATATGTGGATCTACAGAAGGATGCTGAGGATACCATGGATGGAGCATGTAAAAAATAAGTAAGTTTTAAGGATTCAAAAACTAAAATTATTAAGAAACAGAAAAATTTCTATGCGTTGTATCACTTTTGGTCATGAGTGATTATGGCTCTCCACAGCCTCCTGATCTTTAGCTTTTTTTTGTCTCCTACAGCTGTTCCACTATCTATTCATGCAAGCTTGTGACCTACTGTCTCCCACTGTCCCTTTTTCTTTTGATATATCATGTAAGTGTCAAATTCTCCAAGACCTCCTTCCTGATCATATGTTCTAGAAATTTCTTCATAGATGAAGAGGAGACTTGAGGTAACAAAGATGTGGTTATACAGAAGGATGCTGAGAATACCATGGTTGGAGCATGTGAGAAATGTGGAAGTTTCAAGGATTCAAAAACTAAACAAATTATTAAGAAACAAGAAAATTTCTATGTGCTGATACATTGCATGTCTTTGTGGATATCGGTGATCATGGCTCTCCACAACTCCTATTCCTTGTAACTCTTAGTAACATTTGTTTTTTGCTTCCTACTACCATTCTGCTAGCAATTCACACTAGTTCATCAGGTAGCTGGTCCACAGTCTCTCCTACTCTCTTTACCCAGTGCAGAAGTTTTAAGGAACTTTTTCTTTTTTTCTAGAGATCTGCTTAAGATAAAGCATTACTGAATGAATTATGGGATATGAATGTAAAAGGAGAGAGTTAGAAGCAAAGATTTTTTTTAATCAGTTCAGCCTAAGCAAGGCAATAATGTTACTAAGACTCAAGGAGCTACTGGGAGTGAAAGAGAATGAAAAGATTTCAGAAGGAACCAGAAACCCAATCCTAAACAGAAAACAAGGGACAAAACTCTACTCCTGTTCAAAAGACCAGGGAGGAGTGTGAATCAAACTGTAGATGAACCTATCTACTATTGAGGAAAAATAAATAAATAGACAGTAAATAAAATTTCAGCTTTTAGATGGAGATGTTAGAAGGATAAATTTGAAGCAGACTTTAGAAGGAAGTGGAAACCCAGGGATAGACATCTACTCTTGTTCAAAAGATGGGGGTGGAGTGTGAACTGGACGATAGATGAATCTATTTACTTCTATTGAGAAAAAATAAATAGTAAATATAGTAACATAGATAGTAAATAAAATTTCAGAGTTTAGGCAAAGATGCTAGAAGTATAGAGTTGAAGTAGACTTTAGACAGACCCGGAAACCTAATCCTAAACAGGAAATGAAGAACAAACCTCTACTCCTGTTCAAAAGATTGAGGAGGGCTGTGAATTCGATGATAGACAAACTTATCTACTCCTATTATTATTATGAGAATAAGGAGGATAGATGATGAATGATCCCTGATCTGAATTTATTGAGATTGTTGTGTTTAGGGAAGCATCCCTGCAGGTGTCTTTTTCACAAAATAGTAGTTTTATGGAAAACGAAGATAAAAATGGTAAACTGCTACATTATAAAGAATTTGGAAGGGTGAAGTTGGTACCAACGACATGGAGATTGGAAATGGCAATCTGAGTTCAAACCCTAGCTGTGACAGTTTGTATTCTTTTCAGTAATGTTCTTGGGAAAGTATGAATCTACATCTCCCTCAACTGGGGTCCTTTTGTCCTGAAAAGTGGCTCATTGTAAGTGTTGAGTGAGCATCTTGCTTTATTAAAACTAACCTTGGTT